CCCCACCACCTTTCGGCCCCTTCGGCGCAGACGTGCGTGATCCGATCCACGCAGCCACTGACTTCTAAAGCAGATTATTCTCATAGCAAATACAATGATCCATCGTTTAATTTTCTTTTAATTTTCATATTCTTTGATGGTTTGTCTCTAAACCTAAATTTGATGCCAAGCTATGTTTTAATGTTTCTCCAATTCACAGTTTCAAGCTTTTCTACTTTATCCTTGAACGCCGTTATTTCTCCCTATTGATACACAGATCAACTCTGTGTCTTTCTTGTGAAAGTAGTTGTTGTTTTTCCTCCTTTATGGCACTTCATTATAATGTGAAAAGACTGATTTGGGGACTGAAAGAGTGTCTTCTAGCCAAATATTGATTAAGTAGGTGTTTGCAGAGGCCATTGTTGTGGCAGGGAGAGAGGCCTGTTGCTCTCTGCCCCTTTCTCCTCTGCCTCCATTGTTGGCTGTCCTTAAGTGTGAAGATCAAAGCAGACTCATTTAGATTTATTTGTCTGGGAAAAGGGAGCGCTGAGGTTTGTGGGATTAAACGTACAGGACAGCATCACGTTTGCAGCAAGGGCTCAAATCATTGCTGTTGTTTGGAACATAGAGATATATAATTGGTTATATAACACCGTTTCAAAAATAGTTGCCTATAATCGGATTTGTAGATAAAGTAAAAATTTACTCTAATAAGTGTATGTTTGGTATATTATATTTACTGAAATATTTAAAATTTTTTGAATTTGTTCTTGCCATAAGCTGGACAGGATTAATTGATAGCCTCCGCTGTTTATTAGGACTTTAGCCTTTAGCCTCATTTAACTAATTAAAGTAACCAAAGTCATGAAAGACAGACAGCCACTCTTGCAGGATCTGTTTATGGCAGGGGGGCGGGGGGGGGGGGGTGAAAGACAGAAAGGAGAAGGAAAAAAAAAGAAAAGCTCAGAAATACAAACAAACAGTCAAAGGGATAACTTTTCTTTAAAGGGGGTCCCGCGGTGCCTAAATGAATGGGCCCAGTTCTTTCAAATCTGCCATGGTGAACGCAGTCAACATGTAATAATTGGTTTCATTGAGGTGCATTCCAACAATCTGCTGCCATTCTCCTGCCCCTATTGTGCACGGGCAGGCAAATAGCCAGGGGGACAGGAGGAATCAAGTGCTGACAAAACATGAAAGATTTAGCTGCTTTTTGTCGAAGGGGCTGAGTGGGACTTTGTTTGTGTAAATAAACTGGGCTGCTGGCACCCTGGGATTTTGGCATTAGATTTAGATTGAAGGAAATGTTGCGAGAGAGAGAGAGAGAGAGAGAGAGAGAGAGAGAGAGAG